AACATGTTTTTTTCCAGGGTTTTTTTTTTTTTTTTCCCTGCGCTGGGGCTGTATGGAACCCGGCCCGAAGGTCATGCACGTCTGGGCACCTGGGCACGTATTCGGGCACAAGTTATGTGCCCGAGCACCCGGAAAAACAGCGTAGTTACAAACTACTAATTTTTATCAACTGTGGGGCCCCACCCTGGCTGTCGTGACCAAAGACCCACTGTCCAATGGTTGAATGGGCGTGTGGCCCGTGTGATAATTTGTGTCAAAAGTGTCAGGTTGTCATCAGAGACCATGTTAGCAAATTTGCCCAGGAAGGAAAGTGTGTCAGAGTGTGTGGGGAGAACTTTCTCGAGAGGGGGAGAAGGGGGAAACGAGTCCAACACATGCGGATCCACAATCGCAACACGCTTTTCGTGTCTTTCTTTTTGTTTTCGTGTTTCTGTTGCAGCCGACCCAAATTCTTTTTTTTTTTTCTTTTTTTTTGAGAAAACATCCGTTGGGGTGCTAGGGGTGTTGATAAGAGTAATTGCCCCTTGCCCCTAAGAGAGACTCCATCTATTGGTGGGGAGCTTCACCTGCTGGAAAGCGGGTCCAGCGTCCCATATGTACAGCATAACTGAGAATGTCGGAGAACAGTGACCGTGAGGCCTGCCAGCATTGATTGCCCTGGGACCCAGGGGATTGACTGAATCCGATGCATGCATGCAATCGGTTTCTCTTGACGCTTCTGTGCAGCGTTCGATTTTGCTTTGTCTTTTGGGGTGTGCAGCCGAAACGACAAAGCGAAAGAATTTGAGGCCCGCCTGCCCGGTCAATGACTCGTTGAAAATTTCATGCAATGCAATGCAGACCCAAGTTCAAGTCCAGTGCAATGCAAATTTTGACACCTGCCTGCTCACTCAATCACACACTCACTCATGCATGTGCGCGACTGTCTGCATGCCACCCATCCCACCCACAAATGCACACATATAGATATATATATTATCTTAGCCTGGGTTTCAAGCAAAGCAGGGTTGGTGAGGTTCCAGCTGTCTGATGGTTGCAGTTGGGGTTTGAACCCATACATAAATCTTGAGGTACCAGCTGCTTGATGAGTTAATAGCTGAGGCACACTGGGTCCCGCTTCCATTTCCGGGACCCGTTTTATTTGAATGTGCACCACCTACAGTGCGGTGAGTGCCTCCCTCTGAACTGAAGCACGCGGGGACCACCATTTGGATATTTGCCTTCTTTGTTCCCTTTTGTCCCGCAGGGAGCTGTTTTATTTAAATGTGTACCGCATGCACCTAGGCTAGCAAAGAGAATGGGGAGCACTTGCCAGGCCGTGCAAAACATAAAAACTGTTTTTTTTCATCTAATTTAAATTTTAATTTTTAATTTGGCATAGATCTTCAGTGCGACCCTGAGGCAGCGGGGGATCACACCGCAGGACCAGCAGCACACCGGTCCTGCTTGCCAGAGCTTGCAGCTGGTGTGGCTGAAGTGGTAGTTGTGGTTTGTTCATTTGGGGGCGAAGGGTGGCGCTGGCTTGAAAGGGGAGGAATAGTCCCCTGGCTATGGTTGGTCCCGGCTGACACTTGTCAGACATCCTTTCCGTCTGGGGATGGATGGCGCATGTGGCAGTTGTGGGGATGGAAGGAGGATCTGGGCGCCTTCTGTACCTTCTATCCCGACATGGAGCCTGATCAGCGCAGTATGCCCCTGGTCATAAACATGGAACCTGCCAGTGGATGGAGTATTTGTCGATGGGCATCATCATCAAGTGCAGGAGTCATCTCGTCCGTTTACCTGACGCGTTAGGACGAATTGTCCGATAATTGTGGCATAATCTTCATGCATTTCGGCTTCACCGTTGACTTCTGTCTCCTGATGGCTGCGTCATTTTAGGCGAGCATACTGTTGTTGTGCGTTGAGTTTTGGTGTTCGTTTTTTTACCGCTGGTGGCACTGGGGTAGATTTGTTTTCTGCACAGCACATTGGTTTCCTGCACGG